CCCGAAGGGCAGCGCCCAGAGGCCCCACCCCCCGCTGTGTACCAGCTGGCTCGGAGGCACGCCCCTCCCCCCACCCTGTGATCACTCACTTTTTCTCCCTGGCTTCCTTTATCTCCTTTTGGCCCCTGCAGAGATAGGGGGAAAAATAGTTCATTCTACACAGAAACAGGAGCGCTTCCCCACCTCCCGGAGCCCTAGACCCCAGGGACTGCCTTCAAATAAGCCACGGAGAATTCATTTCCTGACCAAAGGAGGCCTGGAGCAGGGGAAGCAGCCCTAAAACCCCTGTGGAGCTGCCTGTTGCCTGCCTGCATCCTGCGTCTCTCTTTGGATGTCATCCCTTCGGCTCTGGTTCCACTGAGGTCACTCACCTGGGGGCCAGCAGTGCCCTCTCTGCCGGGGAGGCCTGGGGGCCCAGGGGCTCCGTTTGCTCCAACTTCTCCCTAAAAAGGACACATGGTGGATAAGGGCATGTCAGCTGCACAGCCTGGGCCATGGGGCTCCTCAAGAGGAAGCTATGCTCTCTAGGGAAGTGGCAGTGGCCTGGGTGTCTACTGGACATTGGCTCAACTCTGGGGGTGCCTCCTGGGAGGGCTTTAGGGAGGGTAGGTGGGAGGGGCCAGGGGATGCCTGGGTGTCAAGACTCCGGTGGGGCTCCCATGATCCTGGTGGGGCTCTCATGATTTATGGGGCTCTGGGGGGCCTCACTGTCAGAATAGATCCATCTTCAACTATAAAGAGACAAGGGCAGGCATAAAGAGCAAGGGGGAGAGAGCAGTCTGAGTCCTGGGCCGATACAGAGGTGGCCCCTGCAGACACACATCCAAGCCTTACCCTTCACCCCATTTACTGAGGCTCGGGAGGGATGGGACTCTGGACTCCACCTGGGGTCCCTTACCACCTCAGCTGATCCAGTTTTCTAAACCTGAGTCACAGTGCTCACCTTAATCCCAGGTGACCCAGCTGGTCCAGGATCCCCCTAAGTAGAAAGAAGAGCTCTGTGAGTGCAGGCCATGGGCCGACCAGCCCCCGGGGCTGCAGTGAGGGAAGGGTTAATTATCCAGGCTGCATATCGCCCTCCCCCACTCAGGCCCCTCAGTTGCTCAGGGCTGAGGGGTCTGGCACTGAGTGGCTACCCTGTGGCCCACACTGGGCAGTCTGAGCTCCATCTGGACTGCTCTGAAAGCTAACGTCACAGTCATTATTTCCATTACAAGAGGCAACTCCACTGAGAAGACTTCCCTTGTAATTTAAGAAGTCTGAGTAGCTTCAAAAGTTTATAAAGCCCTTATAAAAATTCAGCCCTTTGAAATGTCCCCATGTTTTGCAAATGAAAGCAAAATACTATACAAGGAGCTGACCCAAGCCTTGCCATGATGAGCTTGGAGCAGAGCGAGGGCTCAGAGGAGGACCCCTCAGGGAGGCTGCCCTACCGTGCTCCCACCATGCCTGGGGCTCAGCTAAAGAGGGCTGGGAGGACGGCATTCCACTGACCCAACCGCTTGAGGACATAGGAAGCTCCAGGAGTATTCCCTAAGCCCCTGTTACTGCTCAAGTCAGCAAAAGCACTTCAAGTATACAAAACCAGGAATACGATTCTTAGGCTTTAGAAGGAAGATGGATGATGGCTATCCCCTACTCCTGCCCAAACAATGCCCAGTGTTTGGGAAAGGGGACCTCGTGTAACTATTCTCTGCTAGGTTTTGCTATGTTCTGCAAATTTCCCACAGTGGATTCACATAACTCTTCTGACCAGAAAATTAAGGGCCACTGAAACAGTAATTCCCAGCAGGTAGCCAAGACCTGCCCCCTCCAGCCCAGGAGCACCCAGGAAGCCCGGGTCATCTTTCACTGACCTTCAGTCCTGGTAGGCCAGGCAGTCCCTGTTCAGAAGAGGAGATGTGTCATTAGTGTGTCCTGGGCCCTATCAAGAGATGCTTAGGATCCCAGGAGCAGTACGCCCTTCCCCAGCTACAGCTCTGATGGAAAATGGAAGGAAATGCAGTGTTTCTAAGGCAGCCAACATGCACGGGAAACTCCATGAGTGGGGGTCAATCCTGGCACCACCTATAACACTCTCTACTGTCACTCACCTGCCAAGAGTCATCTACAGCCAGTTGCCTGGACACCCGTGGTTTACTTAAGACACAAACCATTTCGACAACTACAGATGTGCCATCTGCCCAACCAGGTGCCATGGCCCGTGCAACTTGGCTATGACCCTGGTCCCTGGGAGAGCTGGTGGGCTCTGCAGCTGTGTGCAGCTCCTAGAACCCCAGAGAAAACCCCAATGTCACTGTGCTCAGCCACCCACCTTGGATGAGAACCATGGAGTTCCTCTGCTCATATCTACTAACTTAATCGCAGGTAGCTAGCTACTGCTGGAAAATTAGGACTTTTTTTTAATATGTGAAAGGAAAAGTACACAAGTAAAATGGTGAGACCACCTTTGTTTTCAGAGTTAGTTTCTGCCCAGTTAAAATTTCTCATTAATTTTGCTCAGAATAGGGCCAGCCCATAGCCTGGTAGTTGAGGCAGCTGAATCCCCATGGCCAATCACATGGTTCAAATCTTGGCCCTGACAGCTTGAAAAACATGGCAGGTACATGTGCATGCATGTCCAAAATCCAGACAGGAAGGAGAAATGGTGAAGGGGTTGCAGTGTGACCACACTCCACTGGGGAGTGACTTCTCCCTCTCCCTCTATCTCTCGGTCGGTCTCTGATGAGCATGCGCACTCTAGCAGATGGAAACAAGTTTTGCTCACAATGAGAAATCTGGGGCCAGGCAGTGACGTGGTGGTGGACAACACGCTGTGAGGCTGACCCATATGAGAAGGTCTGGTTCACATCCGGAGATCTCCCTGAGTAGCCACACCCCTGTGCCCATGACCCAGGCTGGCTGAGACCAGGGCTCGATCATAGTAATAGGGCCTTGTTGGGGCTACGCCTTATCTGTCTCTCTCTGTCATGGAAGAGATCAATAAACTTAAGGGGGAAAAGGGAGAGGAATCTGTGCCAGTCGCATGCTTTCAGCTGGCTGAGTCTCTGAGGGGTGAAGCTGGATGCTGTGGTCCGAGGTCACCCCCCACCCCATGCATCCTCTGGGGCAGGGGTTGCAGTTCCTGCAGGGTGGTGATGGCCTCTGCCCTCCCCACTCTACGCCAGCTTCAGGAGACAGGGATATGGCTGGCTGGGCCACAGTAGGACATGCCCCTTGCACATCTGGAGGCCATATTCTCATCCCTGTGACCTCTGACTCCTTGAGGGAGCATTTCCAAAGAAGACAAGGGCCGCGGGAAGACGCTGCCTGGCCACGTGGCTCTGCTGGTTTGGGGGCTGCCCCAGTCCCATACCAGTCTGCCTAGGAATGCCTAATGTCCTAGAACCCCCATCCCAAAAGTTGGCCAAGCCTGGCTTGTAGGGTGTACCTGTGGCCCTTCCACTCCTCGGGCTGCTGCCAAAAAAGGTCCCCCGGAGCCTTCCATGTCATCCTGGAGGGGATACACAAGGGACACTCAGGTCTATGTCATCTAAAAGAAATGCCCCTGCCTGAGGCCGGACATCAGCCCGAGAGGCAGAGACTGGGCACAGCTCAGTGGGGTGAAACCCTCAAGGCTGGGGTCACCTGGGATACAGCCATTCTTGGATGGGGCACATCTGCAAAGGGACAAGACCCTTGGCTGGTGCCATGTTCCCCTTGAGCATTTGGAGGTAGTCAGACTAGACAAGGCCAACGGCTGGGGTCAGCACAGCAGCTGTGCTTTCTGACACACGTGAAGTGGTCAGGCTCACTGGAACAGCAGGGTATAAATACCCTGCTTAGGGCCCTCTAAGGCCAGCGGTGCTGTGCCAGTCCATCTTGTAATGAGTGCAGCTGCTCATGCAGAAGTCCAGGCCAGGACCCTGCCCAGGAGGCCTGCTTGGCCTGTGAGATGCCAGAGGCAGGAGGGGTCCAGCCAGCACTCACAAATCCAGCAGCGAATCCTGGTCCTGGTGGTCCAGGGGGTCCAGGGGGTCCCTGTGGTCCAGCCGGTCCCGGGGGTCCTGCCAAGCCGTTCTCCCCAGGAGCACCAACAGGGCCTGGATCTCCCTTGCTGCCCTGCACAGGGGGAGGAGAGAAGATCACCGCTAAGCCCCCGGCATTTCAGTTGCACCCCCAACACAGCTGTGTTTTCCCAAGATGCTTCTGATAAATCTGAGACCCAGAGATAAAAAACATTCCACAAAGTGATGCAAACCCACTAGCACTTCAGGAGCAATTTCATCCAAAAACAAAACAGCTGAGTGAGAATCACATGCCCAAGGTGGGTATGGGGCACAGCAGGCACCACACAGAGCATGCCATACTCACGGCTTGGCTATCTCCGGTGGGGGGGGGGAGTGCAGATGAGGATAGTGAAGAGCAATTGTGACAGGTGAGGAGGGAGGACAGGACTGGAAAGAGCCAGGGAAAGGAGAGGAAGAAAGGAGAGGGGAAAGCTCAGGGCACATGTGGGTGGGGCTGGGGTTGGCGTGCTTCACTATGACAGCTGGTCTGAAGGAACTGGGATTTGGAGGTGACTTGACATGCAGCCCTGGCTGCTGGAATACAAGGGACCTGAGAGAGCCTGGTGCCAGGAAGGGGAAAGGACAGCATGCCCTGTGCAGAGGGCTCAGCTTGGTGTGAGCATCCCATTGCAGCCACCTCACTTCTCTGTAACCCAGAGGAGGATCGTGGTCCTCTCCTGGGCCCAGGGGAGCTGAACTTTTGAGAAGGTATAAGATTGCATAGCCTAGTGCTGAACCAAAACAAGGGCAGGAGTGTGACCTACTGCCCTGCCACAAACCCAGCCCAGTGGCAGGGGCCCTATGGCAGGGAGGTATCCATTAGCTCCCAGCACCCCCACAAGCCCTAGGCCTCACACCCCTGGCTCACCTGTAACTACTGTGACCTGACCTTGCCCCCCATTTCCAACCACTTCTGGGGACTAGTGTCTACTTCAAATAACCACACTTACTCTATGCTTTGAGTTTTTTGGTCAAGTATCGGTGCCAGGATTTGAACTACAAGATTGGCCATGCGAGTTGCAGTTCCCATAACCTCTAGGCCATGGGGCTGGCCCTGCATTTCGGTTTTTAACAAATTGTTCATACTTTTAACATCTTACCACCCACTAACCTGAGGGTTAACTTTATTGAAATCTTAAATTTCATATTCTTGGTTTTAGTCTAAGAGCCTTGCACCTTTAATACTTAAAAGGCACATCTAATTTTTAATCTTTAAAAGCTTCCTATAATAATGTTTGTTTTAAAAAAAATCTCTTTCTGAATTCATCCTTTGTTTTCTACTTAGTGAATAACTAGGTTATAGGGATCTAGAAACCTTAATACCATACTTAGTACAGGAATACTTCTATTTCTTAGGGCACGGGGCCCCAAGGAAGCCCCCCACCAGCTTTCCCTCTGCTGCCAGCCAGACTGCCATCAGAACAGAAGATGGCTTGGAGGGTCTTCCAGGAGCAGCCCCTGTGTAAGGGTGAGGAGCCGGGCTGGGGGATCCTTGGGGCAGACAGCCCCCCACACCCTCCCATATCCTAGCCCCTCCTCCAAAGCTCCGACAACGAGCCTCTGCCCTGCATGTTTCCATGACACCCATTTCCCAGTGCTTTTGGCTTCTAGACACAGTTGGCCTTGGGCCCTGACCAGACTAGAACTCAGGGCGGAGACAATCGCCCAGCAGAAACCGACACTGGCCACCAGGGGAACTCCTAGCAGGAGAGAGACTGAGCTGGCTTGCGGTCAGTGCCAAAGGGCTGCCCTTGCTCGGCCGCAGCACCCCAGCAAGCAGACCGGTTCTGGGAGAGGGTGGACCAGGACGTCCTGTGTACCTTGGGTCCTGGGGCGCCTGCTTCACCCTGTGGGGAAAAATCAGGATGACAAATTCAGACCACTGAGACAAACAGCAGGAGGGATGCAAACGGCCCTTTCCCAGCTTTACCCTGACAATGAGGTCACTGCTTCCTGCTCACACCAATTGAACCCTTCCAGAGATTTTCTCTGCCATCATCCTCCAAAGCACAAAGCCAGCCGGATCCCATTATGAGGGTGCATCTCAGTCAGACCTGGCACCCCACGGGCCAGTGGCCCCAACCCTGATGCAGAGCCCAACGCTTCACAAGGAGGACGGATCAGCTGTGTTCACGCTGACGGCATTCTGTAGCAGGAGACGTTAGTGCCTCCCTAGTCAGAGGCCTGTGCGGCCTTCTCCATCTTGGGTGCGACCAAAGCCAGAACTTGGAGTAAAGCTTTAAGCTAAATGGAGCCAACCTTCTTTCATTTTTTTCAAGAAAGATTTTTGCTATAGGTCGCATGCACTCACTAGACAGACACAGAGAGACAGAAATCCTCCAAGGTCCTCTTGGGATTTTGGGTATGCATACACACGTGCCCAGTTTGATTTTTAAGCTACTGGTTCTGGGACTCAAACCACAGTCTACTACATGGGAGTCCAACAATGTAAGCATTACAATATCTGCTGGTCCCAAAGCCAACAGTCTTAAAAACCATTGGTCCATCACGAAAAAAACGCCATCACAGGGTGAGTCCCGGCTAACCATGCTCTAAGCAGGCTAAGGCTTGCTCTGACACCTAAGGTCCCTGGACTTGTGGACTGTGGCCAGCAGAGGCTGCTCACAGCCTCAGCCTCCAAAGGGCCACCAAGCTGGGCCCCAAACACCCGAGCCTGTCCACCCTCTGGCCACATGGTGTGGCGCTAGGTACCATCCCCAGACTGCGAGAGTGACTTACGATGCTGCCTTTCTGGCCAGTCTCTCCTGGTTGTCCCTCCCGTCCTGGAGGACCTGGGGGCCCCTGTAGAAAAGAGAAGAGTGGATTGGGTGGAATCTTTCTGTAAGGCAGGTAAGTGGGGTGGCAAACATGGAATGCCCTGGACATGCAGAGTCTGCAGCTCACAGGAGCCCTCGCCCACAGTGCACTCTGCCTGGCTCTCTTCTCTGCCTTGTTTCTCGAGTTGCTGATCAACTGGAGAAGATGAGAGGGGCTCACAGACCCCTCGCTGGGGGGAAATCACCACCACCCTTCCAGGAATAGCCTGCCACGTGCGCAAGGATGAGTGTGGTGTGTTCTTAGACCAAAAAATCTGCTTAGGACTCAGCCCTAGGAAAGCCTCACCAAGCAATCTAGGCATGTGCAGGGGGCCCACCGAGCAGACATGAAAGCAAATGCAACGCACAGGGTCAGCTTAAGTCAGTCCTGGGTGTCAAAAAGTAGGGCAGCATGCCACAGTGAAGTCACTGCACACACGGAATTATATGCCCACAGAATGCCATCCAGCGATGACCAGGCTTCTGCTTGTGGCTTCTGCTTGTCACCGAGTGTGCAGCGTTAATATAGGATGAGTTTCAGACACTGCTCCTACCCTCTCTCACTCCATCCTCTGGGGGCCCTGGCTCTCCCATCCCCACCGTGAGATCAATCACAGGAGGATCCCCCC